CAAAATTCAATTATTTTTATAAATAACAATATTCATCACAATAATTCACTTATTATTTAAAGAAATAAATTTCTTCTTGGAAATTCCATTAATTTAAAAAATTTTAATAAATTGTTCGAACGAATTCAATTATTTTCATAAATAATAAAATGTTTTTTAGGAATTCAATTATTTTCAAAAAAATTAAATAAAATTTCCCACAGACATTCAATTATTGCCAAATTTTTTAATAGAATTCTTTGTAATATTTAATTATCTTTAAAATATTTTCGCAATTCAATGATTTTCAATATCTACCATTTTCATAAAATTTCCAAACAAAATTCTATTATATTAAAAATGATTTGTAAAAATTTTCGTCAGAATTTAATACTTTTCATGAATAATAAAGATTATCATCAATTCAATTATTTAAATTACAATTTGTATAAAATTATTCGAGATAAATGAATTATTTAAAATTTTTATAAAATTCTTCGCAAGAATTAAATTATTTTTTATAAATATATTTAAAAATCTTTCATGAATAATAAAATTTGTAGCAGGAATTCATTTTATTAGCAGGATAAGAAAAAAGTAAATATTTTTGATGAAAATGAGGAAAAAGTCAGAAAAATAAAAAAATATGGAATGGAATTTTTGTCAATTTTGTGAAGTGAATAAAACGAGTTTTTTTTGACATTAAAAAGAAATTCCAATAACCGACAAAAATTAATTTTTAAAACAAACAAATGAATGCAGAGAATTTGCTAACGGAAAGGAAACTTACGATTATTATAATAAGTATTTTTTAATAATTCAATTATTAAATCAATTTTACTCACAATTATTGGTTTGATATGGATCCTGACACATGGCTGCCTTTTTTCATCCAGAGTCCTTTGTTGAAAATCTAATAAAGAATAGAACTATTTAAAACAAAACTGAATAACCATAGATATCAGGGGAAATATAATTTTCAACAAGTTTATTGTAAATACCTAATGCAAAGTCGTTAATTAACACTTGGAATTTTTTGATGATATTGTACTATATCTAAAAAATCTGTCTGTTCCCCAAATTTTTGTAAATCTTCATGTTCATCATGTCAATTTCAATAATTCTACACTAGAAAATCAGCTGTTTTAATTAACCTCAAATAAGTATATACATATGCTAACAGTAGATTAAATGCAATAGTTTACAGAATAAAACATTAAACCAAAGAAAAATACAATTTTTTTGGAAACCTATCTTTTAGGTTATGTTTTGTCAAAGTTAAATTTTAATGGAAAATATGAACTTATTCTACAATATTTATATAGATTTAATCAAGTCATTAAACTGTAAAGTAAGGTACGATAAAATTAGGATAATAATGAGTAATATAATACTTACAATAATAGTTTTTTTTCACTTTTTTCCACCTCAGTGTCACTTATTAGAGAAGTTTCATGTCAGTAGCTGCACATGTCAGTCACAAAGAGCACGTGTTAAGCACATGTTTGCAGTGTCTCACTTGCGATGTAAGGGTTCGTGAAAGTTCCCAGAGATGGCGCAATTGCGCTTAGAGAAAAAGTTTTTGTTACACCCTATGCTTTAATGCTTTCTTTCCGGTTAAGTTCAGCTGCGCATCGAAAGTCAATGGAAAAACGATGCGCTGAACGTAACCGGAAGAAATTAATTCCTTATAATTAAATCTTAATTAAATAAGATTATGGCGCATTTTATTAAAATAATGGTAATAATAAATGAATAATAATAAATAATAGCGATTATTTTTTTACTGTACATGCTTTCAAGTGCAGAGATGCCAACGACCATTTCCAAACGCAACTGCGCTTGCGCTGCAAAATAATCGCTTTTATTCTTCCGTAAACTCGGCTCAATCTCAGACTATTTTACAAAGGAAAAACATACAAAAAGACAGTCGCTTCCTTTAGTCTGTAAAGTCAGCTCACTCTCAGGCTCCTTTACCGAGTAAAAAGATACATAAGCGACTTTGTGTATCATTTTGTCCTGTAAGTTGGTGACGTATGCAGCGTTGATTACCGAAATATGAACCCACAAAGTGCTTTATGTATCATTTTAACTCTGTATTTCGTCACTTTTTCCATTTTTGTCATTTTTAAACAATCTTTTTTTGCAATAAATAATTAAATTAAAAAAATTTTTTTTACACAGTTAAATACAGTTTTTTATGAATCCAATGATACCAAAAACTCAATTTTTTCAAAAATGTCGCTTATGTATCTTTTTCCTCTGGACGGCAGAATACAAAAGGACATATTATAATTCCATTAATTACTTTAAAAAGAAAGAACTTAGATGAATATGATTTATTAACACAAACCACACGATATTGACCAATTAAATAGCCCTTAAACCAATCAATAAAATTCGACCCCACGTCCAAAAGTTTCAATTTAGTTAGTAATAGGTCATGGTCAACTTTATTAAACGCCTTTGAAAAATCTGTATAAACTGTGTCCACCTAAGAACCCAATTCTAATCTACAAGAAAGAAAATTAGTAAAAGTAGAAAGATTAGTTGCCGTAGATCTACCCCTCATAAAACCATGCTGTTCATTAAAGGCAAAGTACAATATTTTAATCTTTAGTAAACAATAAATCCAAAAGAGAATTATGCACATTAAAAAAATTATTTATTTGCGATAGTTTCAAAAAGTTAACAGTTTTCTATACTACGTCGACAATTTGACACTGCATTCTAGATGATCCATACATAGGAGAGCATATTAAAAAATTACTAGGAGTACGATGCCATATTGCAAATGGCATATTGAAATCACCAGTGACAATATAAACAGATGGACATAAACTAATATACATATCTTTAATAATTTGACATACGGCACTCTACAGCTCAAGAGTACTATTTGCCCTACTAAAAATAAAATCACAAAACGACAGAAATTTAATCAGAATTTCTGATGATTATAGACTGCTTTTGTTACGATTGCAGTCACAGAACATCAGCTTGAGTCATGTTATGTCAGAAAACTTTAAAAGTATTCAGGTTTTTTATACAAAGTCGACACCCTCTTTTACCTGCAAAAAGGTCAACAGACCGTCATAAATTTGAAGGGAAATCTTTTTATTTGTTTATGTTCATATTTATTTAAACATTATACTTGTTTTTCATAGACTTAGAATTTATCTAACAATATGTCCTTATTATGTATACAATTTATCCTTTAAAACTTAAATTCAAAACTGATATCCTTTTTTATTTATTAATTACGGTTTTCGAGATACGTTACAGCCCAGTGGGCACATTTGTTCAAAAGACGTCCTAAGGATGTCTTTTTGCGGACGTCTTTTGGACATGTACAAAATGTTCTATGTCTTGGCCATTAGATGTCTTTAAGATGTCTAAAAGACGTCTTTTTCAGTCAACATTTGAAAATAGAAAAATTTTTATAAATAGAAAATATTATGTTTTAAGTTCAACTTGGACTTAGAAATTCATGAATGTGAAATTCATTGGAATTTTTCTAAGTTAAATTCATTTCATTGACAAGTGAGATCGTTAACTTTGTAGAGGTTCATATCTGTCTTGAACGGCTGAGGTGCTTAAGACGCAGTGCTTCAAGCCCAAGGTATCCGAGTTCGATCCCAGCTTCGTATGAATTTTTTCATTATTTTTCCACATTTTAGAAAAAAGAAAATTAAACTTAAAATAAATTTAATACAATATTACTGAGTTTCAACTTAGAAAATGTTATAAAAGAAATGTCTATTTAAGACCTGAAGGAATGTAAAAAGGACGTCCTAAGACGTCTTTAAGACGTGCTTTAGACGTCCTTTCTTATATCTTTTAGACGTCTTTTAGAGCAGACATAGAACGTCTTTTAGTTGTCTTTTTGATGACAAATGTTGAAAAAATGTTGATGAAAAAATGTTTTTATGATAAATTTTAGATATTCGTAATCGTGGAGATTTATAGATTCTAAATTTATATTTATTTCTCTTATAAAAAAAGAAAAAAAAATTGCAAAACTTTTGAGCAATAAAAATCAGGTTAGAGACCCAAAGATCGTAACAATAGACCAGCGATTCTATTGTGAAAAAGGTCTACGCACAAATTTGAAGTTTTAACGGTACTTTACATTTACCTACTATATTTTGGTGGGGGGCTGTAAATAAAAAAGATGAATTCAGTGAGAAATAATCACAATCTATAAACATCAGGATTCAACTGGAGCAAATAAACCCTTTAATCAGAATTAACCAAAAGTTTCAGGAAACGTCAAAGTAGTCACAAAACATCAAATTTTCTGACGTTTACTTATTATTCTTAATTTTATTTTTAGCAGGGTGGCAGCAAATAAAAAACAGTGAAACAGAATCTTTTGTTCAAAGAAAGTTAATTAACAGAAACTTCTTTAATTAATTTATAATATTAATATAACAATTTTCGTTATGAAACTATCAGAAGGAGGGTGTGTTGGGCGAACCAAGAATAAGAATAATAACGTGTTGATGAATATTTGTATTGTCTTCACTTACTGTACAATCTGCTAATATACTCAGACGTCTTTCCCTGGCCAGGTTCAGTCACAATAATAGTTATTCGAAATTATGTTATAATATAATCGTCGACAATAATTTAGTCTTTACACTTGAGCGTACGGCACTAGAATGGCTTCACCTCGCCGGTGCCTCGTGAATATCACGTAAACCGAAGAGTCGTCTACAGCAGTTCCAGTGACAATATTAATATCTTGTTCATCGTCAACATCAAAATATTGATCATCGTCCATTCTAATAATTATACTTGAACCTTGACTCTTGTAAATTTCGCCAATTGATTTTTCGCTCGAATCCTCATATGAGTTGTAATATTCATCGCATATTACCCTTAGCTGATAATATAATATATTTCGAAAGATAAAAAACTGCTCAATTAACAATATTTCTATTTATTTAATTGAACTCAATAATTATAACCAATTATAAAAAAATTTGTTTTTAAACAAATTCCTTGGTTATTTTTAGGGTGTGCCATCTTCTGCTCTTAGAGAAATTTGTTTACTTAAGGAATTAAAACATAAAAATATAGTTCGCTTATATGATGTACTACACAATGATAAAAAATTGACTCTAGTATTTGAGCATTGTGACCAAGATCTAAAAAAATATTTTGATAGTCTTAATGGTGAAATAGATTTGGATGTAGTTAAATCATTTTTGTAAGTAAAATTTTGATATTAAAAAAATTAACTTCTTGGTTAGAACTTCAATAAAATAGATTTATTTTATCAGATATCAATTATTACGAGGATTAGCATTTTGCCACAGTAGAAATGTTTTACATAGAGATTTGAAGCCTCAAAATCTTCTCATTAATAAAGTAAGTAACAAGATGTAATTCTTTTTCAAATAATTATAAATCTGCATAAAAATATTTTAATAATTAAACAAATTTACTTTCTTGGATTATAAAATACTATTTATACACGTTTATCAGAATGGGGAGTTAAAACTAGCTGATTTTGGACTTGCGAGAGCTTTTGGAATTCCAGTTAAATGTTATTCTGCAGAAGTTGTAACTTTATGGTACCGTCCACCAGATGTTTTATTTGGAGCTAAACTTTACACAACATCCATTGATATGTGGAGCGCTGGTTGTATTTTTGCAGGTAAGAATAATTTTGCTTAAGAAAAGTTTCAATATTCTCACAAAGCACGATGTCTTCCTGATGTCTTTCTGGGAAGATCGGTTAGATGTTAAAGGAAGCTTTGTAGAGGCATCCAGGAAGTTCAAAAGGAATTATCAATTGGAACCTCAAGGGAAGCTTCTGTAGCACCTAACAGATTTTCCGGAAAAGCTTTCAAGAAGATATCTTGCTATGTGCTGCAAACTTTTCAATTGTACAAAAATGTTCTCTTAGTGATAAGTTTGCATCGCTTTGTCGAAAACTGATGATGCGAAATTGTTGCGAACTTACATTGAAAACTTGTTAAAAAATTTCTATGTAACCTTCCCGTAAATATTTTCTTCTCTAAACCATAAGAGACACACATTTTATATATTTGTCAGAAGAAAGTTCCTGTTATATAGTATTTATTCGTTATATATAATTGTTTTAAAGGTAAGTGAAGTTTTATATAAATCATCATGTTTAATATTATTTATATGAAAAAAGTACTTATTTGCATTTAGGAATTGGTTCCAAATGTTAATGGGATATCGAGGAAGAACTGCCCTTTTTCGTCCTTGAGCTGGTCTTCCATTTATGTAGTTTTCGTCGAAATAATTGAAAACAGAAGAAGTTCCTGAAGAACTTTTTCAGCGAGAAGCTGAAACGTAGTTTTTACTCGATCAGGGGACAAAAGCTAGGGCCATCATTACATGCGTTAAATCTTTTATATCGTGATTTACGTGGTTGTAAGATTTTTGAAGCCCTTTAGCTTGGATTCGGCGGTATACCGATTGACAAAGATGGAAGAAGCAATAAGAGATGTCAGCATCAGGAAACACTTCGGCACATGCGTTTAAAATTACTAGGGTGTTGTGGGGTGATGTGAAACATGGGGGGATGTTCCAAACCGCCGATTTCTGATCTACAGTTCGATATTGAACAGAGCCAAGTATTGCCATTTGTTTGAGTCTTCAGTAGCTTGTTTTTTATATAAAACTCACGAGACAGCTCGCAGCTAGGTTTGCTGTACGTAAGTTGACTTAAATTTCTCGAGCAGGAAATATTTCTCGCGCCTTACATTTCTAATCGTTTCGTGAAGGGTTTTAATTTATTTTATAGATAAGAATGTGTTATCATATTTGGGGTGATGTGCAACAGTTTTTTCTTTTTTATACTTTACGTGCCATAACTGCGATTCACATGATGAATAAAAAATTCTGAGTTATTTTCCTTTAATTATATTTCTTATTCAGTTATAAATAAATAAAAAATTAAAGGGCACACCTAGTGTGAGTGACTGAAAAAAACGGTGATTTTTAGGAATTTTTTTCAGGGAAATTATTGCATCTAATTTTTTTAAAGTTTTGTACATGTATATTTGTATAAATAGTGAACATTTTGTAATTTTTTCAAAGACAAATATCTTTTTTTAAAAAAGTTATTCGCTATCTCCTAAGTATCCAAAAAAAAGTTCTCCCACTGCTGTAGTGATTGCGGCCTTCTCAGTGACCTAAATCAAAAAAACCAAAAAGATTATTAAACTAGAAGATATTTGCCGTACAATGTCCCTCGGATGTCAAAAAATATTGAATTGCAACAAAGTGGCGGAGTTTTGAAAAAAGCTTTTCAATTTCGCCAAAAAAATCCGATGGTTCTTGGCATCCCAAAATTTTATTTTTCTTCCAATCAAAAAACTAGAGCCTCATTATACGGCAAATATCTTCTAGTTTAATAATCATTTTGGTTTTTTTTATTTCAGTCACTCAGAAGGCCGCAATCACTGCAGCAGTGGAAAAACTGGTTTTTTTTGACATAGCGAATAACTCTTTAAAAAAAGATATTTTTCTTTGAAGAAATTACAAAATGTTCACTATTTATACAAATATACATGTACAAAACTTTAAAAAAAATTAGATGCAATAATTTCCCTGGAAAAAATTCTTAAAATTCGACGTTTTTTTCAGTCACTCACACTAGGTGTGCCCCTACAAAAAAATTTTTTTTCTTTGGTGAAATCTCCACTTTTCAGAGGTGAACTATACCTTAGTAAATTTTTTTTGGTCAGATTTCGATTAGTTTGCATTGAAAAAGCCTAAAATTAATAATTAAAGAGATTTTCATCGATATTTATGCATTACAAACCTGAATTTTACTGGTGTTGCACATCACCCCAACTTTTTTGGAAAATGCCAAAACAGACGTTTTTGAAAAAGCGAAAAATTTTAAATTCTGAAAATCTAATAATGCAGAAATATTCTATTATAATGCCTCTAAGTCATTCAATGTTAAAATATTTAAAAATTTAATTATTTGAAATGTTTTTTGTCCAACGAAAAAAAACGTTGCACATCACTTCACAACACCCTACTTCATAATCTACCATACTACAGAAGCGGACGATGCATGCTGCATCTTCTTTCCTGACCATTTTAAAATTAGAAAGGGAGTCAAATGAACTTTCTAGTTGGTACTAGAATGTATTAAACCCAGACCCGACCCCCTGTCCAACGTGTATCCACAAATAACCTTTTTTTAAATTGCCTTGAGAATTATAGCCGTCCATGTGTTCCTCCCGTCGACCATAAGTCGAAATTGCAGCTCTTGTTTCGCGCTAGGTTCACTTAATGTGTTGAGTGTGAGAATCAGTATCAGGGTCAACAAAATTGCAAGAATGGTTGACTGTAAGATGCTCAAACTCATGTTAATCAACAGTGTTGTATTCTTGCCAGCAGTCAGAGACTATTGTTTTCTCTTCAACAATCCTGTCTTTAATCACAGACATCGCCTTTTGAGTTTAACGTGCAGGACCTCCCAATACTGGTATACCCACATGGGTTTAATCACAAACAGAAGAGCTTTACTTGTTTTGTCAGGCACGGGAACAATAAAAATGTCCCTTGTTTCACGACAAAAACCTCCGAAAAGCCAAATCCCGACAATTACTCGACCGCTAGTACTATTGACTGCGGTGGTACATTTTTTTTTGAAATTTAGCTTTATCAATTTCTACTATTTTATTATTAACTATAATATTTTGTCGGAGAGCTGACAAGAGAATGTACAATGCGGTTAACTTGCAAGCAGTATTCAAAGAAAAGAGCAGATCGTTGAAACCATGTGTCAGTTTTCACAGACAATTTAAAATTACTCTTCTTCTCAAATGTCTGTTTCACGCTTTTTATTTTACTTTTTCTTTGACAACTACAAAAAATCATAAGCATTAAAAGTTGCATGAGTTTTATCATCTGAGCAAATAACAATTTTTTAAATTACATTGTAGTAATCTACCTCCATGTGGTCTCTTCTCAAGGCAGCTTAAAAAATGATTTTTTGTGAAGACACGTTGGAGGGGGTCGGGTCAGGGTTTGGTACCTTCTAATATCAACTAGAAGGTCAATTTGACTCCCTTTCTATATTAAATAAAACCCAAATAAATTCTTTCATAAAGAAACCCTTCTTTCATAAATCGTTATTAAGGTATTTTTAATTTTTACAATTTTTCGAAAAATAGTCAATTGAGGAAGAAAATGTGTGGAATAAAAAATTGTATTTTAACATGATATCGCATTACAATGCGGCAAACAAATATCATTCTTAATAACATTTCAATAATAAATGTAATTGATAAACCTGAGAGAAAACCCCAATAATAATTTACTGGGAATCACCATCAATGCGACACCGACCCCTGATCGCTCCTCGTCCTGAGATTTAAACGATTCACACAATTTAACCCGTTGACTGTCGATGACGCATATGGGGGATTTTACGCGAAGTGATCCAGGCCTCATGCGTTTACATGTCATACTTTGGTGATTTGTAATTCTTTTAAAGAAAAAGATGTGAATTTCACAAAATATGTTTTGGAAAGTTTTTTATCTGTACTTTTCAATGGCTATGTTAGTTTTTAACGTCTCCGTTAACTTTTCTTTCTTTTCATCTGTGCTATTCAAAACATCTACAGAATCACAGGTTTGCAAGCAATTAGAAGTTAGTTCTTGAACTTTGTTAAGTTCTTTTCTGCAAGCGAAACAAAATTTTAAATCTGCAGTTAACAAAGAAAATCGCAATAATAAATTTTGGGACATTATACTGTAACAGGTTTTTACTATTATTGAATTAATTTTTAATCGAATTTTAATTTAATATTATTTTTAATTTGGAATTATTTATTTTTCTTTTCTAAAACGAAGAAATTAAATTTGGTTAATAGAAAACCTGTTATCTATTTTGATTATTCATAGAGTATGGATTTGCCCATGGCGCCAGGCCATTTTGACACAGAATGACCACACCAAGAGATTAACATATTATGCCGACTGCTCATTTATCGTTAATTAAATTACTCATAACCGCGGAGAGGAGGGGGAGTAAGAATGATCACTGAACAACGCTGATTTATTTTTATTATGACTGGTCAGAGGAACAGCTCATTCAAATATTAAGGGGACCCAGTAAAAAGAATTCGATACTTGGACCGTGGAGTTCGTATACGAGCTCGGTAGCTCGTATGAGAAATATGAGAAATCTCTCATACGAGCCTTTTCCGTAATGAGAAGTAAATAGATGCTTGTATACGAGGTGACTTTTAAAGCATTTTTATTAATGTAACACTATTTTAAAGTAAATGTAGATAATAGAAATTAATTTTCAAAGTAAAACAATGCTAAATTTATAAGGGAAATGAAGTGTGCTTTGAAAATTCATTTCTATTATCTACATTTACTTTAAAATAGTGTTACATTAATAAAAATGCTTTAAAAGTCACCTCGTTTTCGGAAAACTTTCAGCGACAAAAATGTTCATTAATATGTTAGGAAGTTTTTTGGAAAATATCTCGCCATCAAATATCCTCACCAATCAAAAGTACCGGGGCAATGTTTTCATTGTTGGCGACAATATTTTCTTCCTGCTCATCAGGTTCGTCAAAGATTTCATTATTTATAATATTTATTTTTATTAAAAAGATTTGGCTTGCAGGAGGGTACGTGCTGTCA